CTGGGAAGGGGTGGGGTCCACTGGGTTAAACGAGGAGTGTGGCTGGGGCCCAGGACACCTGGGTTCCATCCCAGCTCTGGGAGATGAGTGAGCCTGGTAAGTTGGAGCAGGGGGACAGCAGGTGCCTAGGACTCCTGGGTTCTCTCCTGGGTTTAGGAAGAGGTACCTCTGGGGCAATGTAGTCAGGGGTGCCACAGAAGGTTCGGGTGGTAACCCCGGGGAAGATGTTCTCTTTGCACATCCCAAAATCTGTGATTTTGATGTGCCCCTCGGCATCCAGCATCACATTGTCCAGCTTCAGGTCCCTGCAGGGCGAGAGGTGAGGGCAATCACAAGGGGCCCCTCCTGACAGGCTGGAGGTAGGGGAGATTGGGCAAGGGTCCTTCCCCTCTGAGGGGAAATGACTCCACTCTGCCCCTAGTGGGGAGAATATGGCAGGGGTGGGAGCTCTCACCTGTAGATGATGCCCTTGTTGTGCAGGAAAAAGAGCCCAATGGCGATCTCCGCCGCGTAGAACCTGCCGAGGGAGGAACCATCCCTCAGCACACAGCCCAAGCCCACGGATGGCACAAGATGGGACACCCCCACACCCGCAAGGGCAGGGATCTATGGGCACTGCCTGCCTGTCACTGCAGTGCAGCCACCTCACAGGCTGGTTATACTGGACCCTCTTGCCCACACAGATGCAGCTGTCTCAAGGTGCCCTCAATGCATGACCCCTCAGCTCCTTCTCAGGTGCACGTACATGGCATGGGGCTCCTTGAACTTCCCGACCTGCTGAATGTGGTACATGAGGTCTCCACCATTGACATACTCCATCACAAAGTAGAGACGGTCCTGCAGGGGGGGTGGGCGGGCAGCAGTTGGAAAACATGGGAAGAGATCAGACCAGGCCACTGCCCTTACCAGGCCTGCCTGCCCCAGTACCCTGCCCCATCCTTGCCACATCCAGCCCAGCCATCTGCTCCATCCCAGACTGCCAGGACTCTTGACACATCATAACCCCACCCTGTCCCAGACCTGCCTTCAGCCACCTACCGTGGTCTGGAATGTGGAGTGGAGCTGGGTGAGGAAGTGGGGGCGCTCACCCAGGGCCAGCACCCGCCGCTCCACCATGGTGCACTCCACATCATCGTCCTGGATGATCACATCCTTCTTCAGGATCTTGATGGCATAGAGCTCCTCCGTGCCCCGGCGCTCAGCCAGCATCACCTACAGGAGCCCCGCTTAGCACCTCTGGGGTGACAGGCCCTGGCCCCTCCCCTCCATGCGGACCAGCCAGGGCTAATGTCTAGCAAAGGGTTTCCACTTTGCTAAATCCCACTGCACCCCCTCTCCTCCCACAGCTCAGGAAAGACCCCAGGAGTCCTGGCTCTCCCCCCCAACCCACCCACCTGCACTCCCACTCCCAGAGTCAAGATAGAACCCAGGTGTCCTGACTACCAGCCCTCTGCTCTAACCACTAGACCCCACTCCCCTCCCATGGCCGGGATAGAACCCAGGCGTCCTGCTTCCCACCCAGCAGGCTCCCTGTTGCCCCCCTGGTGGCCTGGGACCCTTGCATCCAGGCACAGCACACTCACCTTGCCAAAACTGCCCTTGCCCAGCACCATGAGGAAGTTGAAGTCGGAGATGTGAAAGCGGCTGCTGCCGAAGAAGGTGACGCGCTTGGAATCAGTGGGGCTGGGGCTCGGACTGGACGAGGGACCGGGGCCACGACGCACCCTCTGGGGGACAGAGATGCAGCAGGTCAGTGGCGGCCCCAGCTCTGAGGAGGGGGGCACCGGAGATGCCAGGAAGGGAATTTTTTGTGGGGGTGGGAACTGCGGGACTGCACAAGTCAGTCCACACCCACTGTGACCCACTCCCCTCCCAGAGCTGAACTGGAACCCAGGTGTCCTCGCTGCTCTAACCCACCAGACCCCTCTCCCACTTTGGGAGGGCACTGACGTTCTTCTGCTGCCCTCTGGTGGCCAGACAGGGAATAGTTTTCCCAGGTGTCCCCTGTGCCCTCCACAAGCGGACCCAGCCTGGCATTACCTCGTACAGCTCCAAGGGATAGTTACAGGCCTGCAAGAAGAAGGGGCATAGGGTAAGCATCTGCCCTCAGCTGAGGAGGTGGGCAGCAGGTAAGCCCTAGGGCCCCCCTCTCCAAGGGGATGCAGGGAGGTGGCAGGATGCCAGGGCCCCTGCCCCGAGACTGGAGCAACATGGGGCTTCATGAGCAGCACAGAGCCCCCACTCCCCACAGCACAGCACCCCCGATCTTGACCCGGCTGAGACCCCACCCTTGCTGCCTTCAGCACAGCCCTGCCCTGCCACATTCCCCACAGCCTGCCACCCCCTTAAGGAGGTCTGCGCTCACCACTGGCATAGAGTGGCCTCACATAGAGCTCCCTTCCCTCAGCCTCTTGTCCTACTCAGCCCATGGAGCTGTTATCCTCACAGCAGCCTGTGAGCAAGGTCCCTTGTGAAGAAGTCACAGGTTCACAAGCAAGTCAGAATGAAAGAGACCCCATGAGGTCATATCGAACCCGGCCCCCTGTTCAAGGCAAGATCATCCCTGACCAAACCATCCTAGCCATGTGCCTGTCCAGCCTGCTCTTGGAAACCTCCAGGGATGAAGACTCCACAACTTCTCTAGGCAGCCTGTTCCACTGCTTGACACCCCTGAGTCAGAAAGTTCCTCCTAATCTCCAACCTAAATTCCCTCTGCTGCAGCCTGAAGCCATTGCTCCTAGTCCTGTCCCCTGTGATCACAGAGAAAATCCAGTCTCCATCCTCTCTGTAATCATCAGAGAGGGGTGAGGAGCTCAGCCCAGCTAAAGGGCCTGGGGGGCCATGGGGTTACCTCAAACTTCTGCAGCAGCCCACAGTTTTCAGCATCTGCCACGGGGACATTGTAATACTCCCCTTCCTCCTGGTTGAGTAACTTGTACCTGAGACAGCGACGGAGACAGGCAGGACACCATGGCAGAGGGACAGAAGGAGAAAGGAAGAAGGCAGCCATGCCCAGACAAAGTGTGTGAGAAGTGCCACACAGGAAAGCACAACCAAACATGCAATGGGGAACATGCAAAAGAATGCAATGAATGCCACAAACATGCAAGGAATGAACCAGCCCATCAGATATGTGCAAAAAGACCCAGGAAGAAATGTGTGAAGGGGAAGGTGTGCAATGAAAGTGGAGAGGAAATAAAAGCACAATGGGAAGAAGATGGGAAGGGGGGGAAGAGATGCCAGGGAA